AGGACGAGAATAGGTACAAAGGCTGTATAAGGAAGAATGAAGAAAATGGTGGAAGTGAAGCATGAATGAAGTTGCGATGCAATGAACTTTTGACTGAGTTCCCTTCATGCATAAAAGAAACTCGAAAAGGAGAAATCGAAGACAGGAAATGGCCTTTCTTCTAGCATCATCCACGTGAATGCTTCCTATTAGAAAGAGAACAAGTAAAATCTCACAAGAGAACGACGAAGTCCAGGACAGCAAGCGATGCCACGATTCATTCATAGTAAGATATGCAATGCGGAAGGAGAAGCAAACGGATTCTTGATGGAGCAGGCGATCCTCGGAGACGAAAAGAGACAGGATGACATCCTAACAAGGTTTTTTGGTCTTCTTCGGGGGTCGTTAAGGATGCAGGAGGCCTTGAGGGTGCCAATATATACGGGACGTGAATCTCTTTCTTAATCACCGAACCCTTTTCCTCGGGTAATTTGATGAAGGCGACTCCCCGAACGGCGACATGGACGAACCCAATCACCGCAAGTGCAAACTCTTTCCTGCTCTCGATGGGGACTTTCACTAAAACGACCTTCTATTTCTCAGTCTCTCTTAGGGGGTGCTCAACCTGCGGGCCTCGGTCCGGATCCGGACTGCGAGCTTCCATCCTTTGGACTGTAGACCCTCCCTGTGTCTCGTTTATTAAACATTTTTATTTTTACCAGCCTTTCTGCTACCGTCCCCGTGGCAGTAATAGGCTGATAATAGAGAAGCGTTCAGGAGGATTCGAGGAGCTCCAACTTTCCCTCCCGTCCCCCCTCTCGGTCAACGAATTTCGCGACTTATTCTCCCGATTACAATATCCTAGACGCGTCCTCATCAGATAGTGATTATGCTCTTGCCTTATATTTTTACTTGCGGACCACCAGACCTTAAGGACGTCAGGTTGGTCTAAGGTTTTAGTTGGGCGTCCCTGGTCTATCTCCTTCCACTTTTTGATTCCGTTTCGACTTACTAGCAGTGTCCATGTCCGAAAAGAGGTTAACTGAAGAAGGAAACAGGGAAAAAGTTCTTAAGCTCTTCACTCACTAAGCCTTCATGCTCTACAGAGAGAGAGAGAGAGAGCGAGCACAGATTCACTATACAAATTATTATTATTGAAAAAAAAAGAATATAAGGAGAGAGAAGACGATATTACCCCCTGGATGGCCGGAAAACGTTCCCAACATCATATGGCTGGAGACGAAACACCACACAAGGCACAGCAAGAGATTTACAGGTTGTCATATCCGGCATGGTTTCGTGAAAATTCCAATGAAATTTGACCGTCAATAATCCAAGTGAGAGGTTTCTTTACACGCGGAAATGAGCGAACGCCCGAGCATGATTGACGTGGTTGCTTCTGCTCTCGATTGCACTTTAGTTCTGGTCCAGCAGTGCAGGGTGGTCCAGGCCTTACATTCGTTCATATGACATCGTGCGAAAAAAAGCTTTTACTCGGCTTTTGCTTTACCGATTTCATTCATATTCTCCTCAAACCTCCCAGATGTGTTTTTGAATGACTCTCCATAAGTTTCCGTCGATACTCCCCGTGCTGTTCCGTCTGCAGACTGGTAAAGTTGGGAAAGTTTATTGTGCCACCCAGGTATCCATGCTCTCACGAAAGCACATTCCAATACTCTTTACTTTTGATTTAATCCTCACACTTTCGTTTCACACATGAGGACATGTGGGTGTGATGCAATCCTTTATACATGCGCGTATGTCTGAAATTGTGTGATGAAGGGAAAGGGGAAGAAAAAATGGCAGGAGAAGCAGTTGCAGGCGAAGAGGCAGGATCCGACCTGACGGTCAGGAGTCTCATCCCATGCAATAACATTTGGGTTCGTTTTCTCACTGTATCGAGGAAAAAACGTCAAGAACGACACGAGTACCTCTTATATTCAGCCTCTCGCCTTTGTAATTAAAATATTGAAGGAGCGAACGATTCGGGCGAAGGAGAGGTCAAACGTATTGGAGCAGTTCAATATACAATATACGAGGGATATCCAGAAAAAAAGGTTACAACAGCTGTTAAAAATCGAAAAATGAATATATTTCAACCAAATTTACAGGGTATGTTCCAAAATATGTGTTTATTTCTCAACATAATCGCCGTCAACTTCGATGCACTTCTTCAGCCTGGGCACCAGCTTTTTTATACCCTCGTCGAATACGCTCCGCTCCACCTCCGAAAGCCACTTCTCCACTGTCTCCTTCACCTCCTCATCGTTGGAAAAACGTTTCCCACCCAAGAATTCTTTCAGTTTGGTGAAAAGGTGAAAATCTGAGGGCGCTAGGTCCGGGGAATAGGGTGGGTGGGTAACAATATCCCATCCAAAGGACACAAGCAGGTCCTGAGTCACACGAGCGGTATGGGGTCTGGCGTTGTCGTGAAGGAGGGACACACCACGAGTCAGCATTCCCCTCCTTTTGTCTTTAATCTTTTTTTTCAATTTTTTTAGGGTCTCACAATATGTTTCAGCATTGATGGTGGTCCCTTTGGCCATGAAATCCACCAACAAAACCCCTTTTCTGTCCCAAAAGACAGATGCCATAATCTTCCGCTCTGAAAACTGAACTTTGAATTTTTTGGCTGATGGGGAATGGGTATGGCGCCATTGTTGGGACTGCCTTTTGGACTCAGGAGTATAGTGACATACCCAAGTTTCGTCTCCAGTCACAATAGAGTCAAGGAACGCCTCACCCTCGATTTCATAACGCTGAAGAAATTCACGTGCAGCCAAAACGCGATTTTGGCGATGTTCTGGAGTCAACATTTTTGGCACCCATCTTGCACTCAGCTTCCTGTAATCAAGTTTTTCTGAGACAATTTCACCCATGAGACTTCGTGAGATGTGTGGGAACATTTCATGAAGGGTGTCAATCGTCACACGACGATCACTGCGAATTTTTTCATCAACTTGCTGCAGAAGCTCTTCTGAAACGAGAGACGGCCTCCCACTCCTTTCTTCGTCATGTGTGTCAGTGCGACCTTCTTTGAACGACCTAACCCACTTGTAAACATGCTGACGTGACATTACCTCAGGTCCATAAGTTTCCACAAGCTGACGATGGATCTCGGCCGCGGTAAGCGCTGCGTTTCACTCCTTGAACTACTGGCTTGCTTAGAGCGTAGCCGCCATCCACCTCGTTTGCCGGAGTCGTCTCCAACTGCTTGAGCGAACGACACTGCTGTAAAGTGTTGACTGACTGCGGGTCCCGGGCTTATTTTGACCGTTAGGAACCCCCCTACACGCAGGTATGCCAACCTTCGAAAAAAAAAATTCCCTGCACCCTCCAGGGCACTTGTAACCTTTTTTTCTGGATATCCCTCGTAACTTCAGGGGTCCCGGGGCAACAGCCCCCTTTGCCCCAACCCCCTTAATCCGACCCTGCACTGACCAATAAATGAAATGTGTGACATCGTGATGATTAAAGTTACTTGCGCAAAAATGAACGGGCTACACACATTTAGCTATCCAGAGCATCGGTTGAAACCAAGCTTCCTGACGGATACCCAGCCTATCGAGCTCCGGAATAAACCAGGTCTGCAAGATATGCAGATAACTTGCGTGGTATATTCGACCGTCAAAGAAATAAGGCCCGATTAGGGATGAACACCTAATAGTGTGTAACCTGTTTATTTTTACGCAAGTAACTCCTATCACCACAATGCCACACATTTCAGTTATTGGTCAGTGCATTGAAGAAAAAAACTTAGGGGTAACGGGACTTTGTGGACACCCTGTAGATGATTAATTGTCGGCCATCCTCGGCGCTTCCCCACCGAATGATAATGATAAGGCTCCAAAGTCTCTGGCAAAACGTTGCATGGATTTTCTTTGTGAAAGACCAAAAAAGCCAGAGGTCCGTGTAGAGTAGTAGAGTAAGAATTTCCACCTTTTTGCGCTCGCTATGCTGTCTTCCGTATTTGTTGAGAGCTGGATCCCCTTAGGGATGGGAACAGGCTCATTCTTAGTTCTGGCAGTTAGATTAGATTAGATTAGCTTAGATTGATTTCGATCGATTAGGGGTTATCAATTCTTTTTGCCAAATCGTGTCCTCGCAAAATGAATCAACACTGGTCCCGATATCTCCTACAGATCATCAGTGCACCACATTGATTTATTGACCAAGGTAATCCGCCTCATGCCAACTCGGTAAACATAGCGGCTCACCCAGGCCAACCCGAAGCATTGCAAGGGCAGTAGACCTATATTATCCCTAACCCGGAAATTCGTCCTTTGCGAAAGTATGAAACACTTTTAAATGTCAAAACCAGATTAAAACTGGGACATCAGTATCCGAGGCGCAAGTTCCAATCCTATATTTCTCTAATTTCTGACACAAGTTCATTTCTACGAACAACAGTTGCAATATATACCTAATCGATGGGAACGGATGTTCGCTTGCCTGGAAAGAGTTCAAGTCCGATCAAAACACTCGCTCATGGCTTTTTTTTGCATCCTCAAGCGATTTTGGCTGTTCGACATCTTGAGCCGTGGCATGCTCTTTCATTTTTTAACTATCGAGACAGTACAAACTTAAACTCTTTTTCACGTTTCACTTGGAAAAAAAAAAAACTAGAAAAACGTGAAAATGGATTATCCATCCTCATCGTCGTTGTCTTTCTAATCCAAAGAAGGAGATATGTGTAATAAAACGAATAAGAAAATAAGAGACTCTTGTTCAATTAAACGAATGGAAAAAATCGTATTCGAAATAGAGACTAGTGGTTCTATCTGACATTCTTTGGAAAATTCGGCACTTGCTCGCATCCGCGGCGCATGCAGGTGACATGATGGCGACAGGAATACATGAACTTAGAGGAACTTAGGAGGAAATTAGAAGGAAATTAGAGGAGAGAGAATAACTTTATCTCAAAATAAATATTTTTAATCAGTCGTGACCTTTTATCCGGACATCACCATCTGCAGAGGAGTCAGTCTTTCCCTGACGAAGCTGATAGTCTGAAGTCTTGCTTACTTCTGCATGATGACGATCTTGATGTGGGCATATTCAGGAGCGCAGAGGTGAAGGAAGAAGTGCATGCCCTTGGTCTCGTTGAAGAATCGACGATGGACTGCACTCTTGGTGACCCTAGGGAACCGGTTCGTCAGGGTCTCCACCAAAGGAGTCTTCAGGCTCCCCTCCCATGCCGTATGAGGTATCAGTATCTAGATGAGAAAGCGTTCTGTCGGCAATGCGTTCGTATGTGGAAAGCGCTTAAGACAAGCACTTTCGGGTAGGAGTCACTAGGATAAGTCGCTGAATAAATAAATTTTTCCCCTGATGTTCTATCAATGGCAGCTACGCCACTATCTACTCAATTTTTCATGTATTTTTCTCTTACGATAATCAAAGAAATTAAGAAATAATGCTCTCGAGAGACGTCAGCGGTGAGCAAACTTTTCAAGCCGCGCCCCCCCATTTCATCCGTGTATTCGGTCGCGCTCCGCTATCCCCCCCACCTTTCCCCCCTCCACGCTTTCATTTCATCAGAAACTGACTAATTTCGTGTAAGTTGGCATGAGAAAGGAGACGGGAATAAGTTTTTTTTTTTTTAGTATAATGTTAACTTTATGCTATTGAGAACTATCCGATGCCACAAAGCAAAGGCCAGTCAGGATTCAGAATTTCCTAAATTCATAGTGCTTCTCTTCCTTTCTTCCCTTTTTATTTAATTTTGAACCCGAAAACTCCTTAATTCCGAGGAAAAAAAAGTAATTTAAAGGCCAATGTTTGCGCCCTCCCTCCTCAGTTTGCACCCCCCAGGGGGCGAGCCCCCCAGTTTACAACCCCCCAGTTTGCAGCTCTAAATAATACTATGAAGAGAATGGAAAGAGAAATATGCAAACAAATGCAGGTGCGCATCCGTGAATAATGACATGCACGAGTACTTCGAAAATGCTTAGAAAAATGCTGACTCTTCAGCGATATCTATCGAGGAGACGTGTGGCTTGAACTTGCCGTTTTCTTGATGGGGGAGTGGCATTGTTCGGTCGTCATCGTCAAAGAGAATTACATGTTCAGTATTCAAGGTTCAGCTTCAACCTTTGCCCTTTAGATCGAACGCTTGGCCATATAGCTTCGCCCTCTTTTCAGGAGCACGCACCCATGAATATTTTACGCAGTATTTGTCTTCGGTCATGATCGATGCAGTAATTTCAATCTTCTCCGGTGCCAATATAAAAGAAGGCAGGTTTGAGAATGAACCGTACATGTGTATACCCAGAGTATTGTACCTCTCCTACAATTAAAAACAATAAAACCATTGAATTAAAACATTGGCAAGGGAGGATTGAGAAAAGCCACGGCGCAGGGAGGCACGTTTGCGGAAAATGTATCAGCTAAACGTCATCACGGCTGCTTTTCCTCTGCGCGACAAAGATTGGTCTGCAAAGACTTCATCCCAACTGCGTCCAAGTCTAAAATGGTACTATCGTGAGGAAGGTCGAACAAATTCAATCCTCGCGCCTGCGTCTTTCGCTTTTTCAACCTCGTCTGACAGTGACTCAGCCTTTTCACGCTGGCACACGTGTGAATGGGTAACACATGTCCACTGTTATGCATGCAAATATTGAGCTCAGGTATATGAAAGAGAAAGTTTTCCTAAGTTAAATGATTATTTTGTCCCTTCAGAATTTATTTTTCATGAAGCTAAGTTATTCATGACATCATATATCACATTGCTCTATACACGGTTTGTTAAAAAAAAAAGAAGAAAACTAACGGGAAATCTAATGACTTTGATGATGGCGTTGCTCGTTTTTTCTCCGTTTTCCTCTTTTTCCATGAAATCCATTCAACTCTACAAGGATCGTTTTTCTGTCTATGAGGATTTTGTGCTATTAAAGAGCCAAACAGAGCCAAAGACAGAGCCAAAAAATTCATTTCTCAGTTTATTCCATGCAATAAAAACATATTTTTCATTCATTTTCTATTGCTATAGAATTTCTTATATATATACATTCTGATATTTTTTATTTTAAAAGGTCACAGACCACGTGCTCGAGACAAATCTTTCTAATAGGATAACTTTGTTGGCATTTTTCTCGGAAAGCGAAGTTTATTTTATTTTATTTTTTACATTTTGTTTATGAGAAATTCAACAATTTAAAAATTATTCTAATGTATTCAATTATATTTATTCTTCAGTGTACAATTGCGAAATAATTTTGCTATTCGGATTTCGCTGAAATGTATTTATAACTACTTATACATTTTCCTCCTAAGACTCCGGTGCTTTTTTTTAAATACAAAATATGTGTGCGTGTGTTATCACTCCTCATTCTGTCGGAATAAATATGCAGGCGTGTAGGTATTAAATACTCGCCCTGTAATTACTTGAGATGAATTAATTGTATGCATCTCGAGGAAAATACAATCCCTTTTCCCGGTTCCCATGAGAGGCCTACGATACATAGGATCCAGCCATCACCCATATGTTTATCACGACTTCCTATTGCCAGGGACCGGAATGATTTCCTATATCGACTTGGGGACCCGTAGAGAATGCGTATCTTATTCATGGTGGGGATGATGAATCATGGAAGGGCCTTTGAATTATTCAATGCCCCTTGCTTTCCTGCCTTTGAGGACCACGTGGCTGCCGGTCGCCGATATTATCTCGACAATGATACCCTCTGTAGAACAACCCCCTTGCACTTTTCATATTGCGCTTGGTCACCATATCGATCCCGCTCGTTACCTCTAAGGGTTCGAAGAAAGCGACGGTGGTGATAGTCTTCACATAGGTGGAAGTATCCGAGAACTGGGCCAATGTCAGCTGGGGATTTCGGAGGTCTAAAGCCGCGATCCCGATCTCTCCTCTCGCCTGGCCTCTACCTTCCACCACCGCTATGGCCGAAACAGTCTTATTAATTGAATTTGAAATGTAAAATTTTATGTGAAATGTTAAGGAAATGAAAATATGAACTGAGGACCGGAAGCGGACCCATGTGTCTGTTCGGTGAGCAAGTGTGGAGTATTTTCTGTGTGGAGTAAATTCATTTCTTCAGGTTACAGTCCGGAATAGGTCATAGAAAAGACATTCGAGATGGCATACAATATTTGGCGCGACAGACCGAGCAGAATCGAGGAATCGTGTTCGTTGGAGGTGGACGAAGTCGAGGAATGCCCCGTGCGGCTGCTGGACGAGCCGGGGCAGGAGGTCCTCGGGGTTGGGAGCTTCTTCGTCACGTTCGCTGTCCGTGGACCTGATGTGGACGGGTCGCTGCTCCACCCTCTTCCGTTCCCCGACCTTAAGGATATGATATTTATTAGAGGGTTTGCAGAATCACGACGGGAGTAAGACCGCGAGGGAAAGTGGGTGGGGCCCAATATCCTTTCCCGTATTCGCAACAGAAACTGCTGAATCCTAGGCCACGAACGTAACAAGATGAAAATGGGCACGGTGTCAAGTCTTCTCAACTTGTAGAAAAGTTGCAAGGATGTGAACATCGAACTCTTCCATTGATCATTGACGATGTCTTTCGACATATGATTGTTGCCAATAAAGTTGCTTGTTAATGTCAGAGGATGATCACGGAATCATGAATATTAAATGAGAAGCATTATAAATCATTGCCAATCAGTAGCGATCGGGAGAGATCAGACAAGTTTTCCTCGTATCAATTCTGGTTTCACTTCCATATTTCAGATATAAGAGAAATCATGCATTTCAAAGTCGTTTCTAAGTCATAGCTAAGATGTGATGTAAACAATTTGCGAATTTGTGGATGGCATTCAGGATTTCAATTCATATCAGTGTTTAGCGAGAACTCTTATCTTTGGAAGCGTTGGACAGGCTTGTATGAATTATTTGCTACCATGGTGACCTCCATGGTAGCCAACGTTTTTAAGTACTAGTCATTTATTCAGAAAAAAATCTACTCATCCCGTTCCTAAAGGGAATTCAAGCGACAGCACGACAGTGATATTTGTGAAGAGAACTGACCTTGACACACGTCCTCCGGATACAGAGACGCTGGTGTTGTAGATGGATCTCAGCGTTGAAGACCTCGAAGAATTCGGGGTGACGAGAGTCCAGCCTATGCAGGCATGCAGTGATTTGTTAATGAATTCATCCTACCTTTAACGTTTTTGCATGCTATTTCTAAGGTGAATGCGAGGTAAGGGTTGTCTCTCATGAAAGAAACGGCTCCAACCATATGGAGCAGTGGCATATACGAAAATTATTCGTAGGGGGGGGCGCTTCCCTACTTCCTACTCCCCCCAACCCCCCCACCACCACAACCACCACCACTAACACCAGCCTTCCTATCGTCTTCCTCATCTTTCATATGCGGCAAAACCTGGAGATCCATTTTACAGACCCCAACCAAAAGAAAATGTATGTAATTTTTTTAATTCATAAATTTCAATAGATTGCGAATCTGGTCATTGGGGGGGGGGGGGGGGGAGTCGCCCTGCCTCCTTCCTGGATCCGCTACTGTATCTAATCTAATCTAACTGCCAGAACTAAGAATGAGCCTGTTCCCATCCCTAAGGGGATCCAGCTCTCAACAAATACGGAAGACAGCATAGCGAGCGCAAAAAGGTGGTACGAATTCATTTGCAAATCACTGTAGAGAAGATTAAAGTAATGAAAAATGCGAAACTTGAAGTACCTTATTGCATTCTACTTCTTCATTTAACTGGAATCTTTATTGAAGGAGAGGAAACGTCACTCACTGTATTTGGGGGTGGTGGTCTTGCTGGAACTAGACGTTGCCATCGACTCAGATTGTGTCTAAAGAGCTATCGAAGGCTGATGGGAAATGCAGTTGTTATTGTTTGGTCTGTCTCATGATGTCCTGCACTAATATTTCAGAAATTTCAGTTACTTTCGATACATCGCCTCTTCCTCAAGGGTTTATGAGACCTTGTGCATTGAGCACAAGCGCACTCGGTCCCTTCAGCTGCAATTTCATCTCACAACTCCCATATTTTACGATTACTTTAATAATAATACGAGTTCCTGCGGAATTTAACTGCCATCTCAAAAAAAGGAAGCAGCGCGACCCACCCCCAGCAAGAAAGCCAAAACCGAGCTTTCTACTTCTCTTCAATGAATCTATAGATTGGAATTATAGCTTCGGAAGAGGCGAAATTTCGAAGCTCGAAAAATAGGCAACAGGATAGGCGCCCTTTGCTTCTCTTCGGTGGAATATTTAGAGAACTTCTTTAATGAAGAACATTAGCGGAGGGATGGCGCTGATGTATGGTACAGTACTGTGTAAAAACATTATACAACCCATATGCAAATTGACCTTTCCATGCAAGTTAACTTGCATGCCTTATTTTGCGCGCAAGTCGACACAAAGAACTTTTGTGCAAGTGCGGGGGGCATTTTTTAGATACCTCAGTATATGCAGGTAGCAAATTCCCTATCAAAACTACAGGCTGTGCGCGTGGCCTTGGCCTTGGGAAATCGATGAGATTCCTCCATTCCTTGCACATTGTTTTGTATTAGAGAGCGAGAGTTCCTGTTCTTCCTGAACAACTCTTGTGGTTTTCGTGGGATTTCCCCCCCCTTGCGATTCGTAATGAATAATGAGTTTAAATTCCAGGTTGGGATTTTCCCGGTTGGAGCAAGACAAAGCCTAACATTTCCTTCATTTTATTCAGAGGTGTGATGGACTGATTCAAAAAATTCAAAAATAAAACGATAAAAGAGCGCCTTTGTGGCCCGAAGGCATCCAATGATTATCCTGACCGAGGTAAAATGTTCCCCCGAACATGCACGAAAACGTGCCCATCCGAATGAAGAGCACAAGGGTTTGCCTGTAAAAGTTCTACCTGCATGCTGTAATGGCCCGTTCATGTAAACCTGGTACGAAAGTGCTGTGCAAGCACAATTTGCATGGAAAGGGCAACTTGCGTGCGACATAAACATAATTTCCCACAATGGACATCGGAAATCCCCTGGGTGTCTCCCGCTTGCATTTTACGTACAGTCGAACTCGGTTATAACGACCTTGCTTATAACGACGAAAAGTGCCAGGTCTCAGCGTGGAGCCCATTGGGCACGTTTCATTTTACCTCGGTTATAGCGAACTCGGGTATAGTGAGAACCTCAGTTATAACGAAGTCCATTGAAGGTCCCACTGACGAAATTGACAACGTTGATGTCCCTAATCCGTCATTCTTAACTGGAATTCCCATCATAGGAAAAATGAGCGTTGGCGAGCCATAACGTTATCTTTCCTGGAATCGGCATTCCTTGAGAGTCATGTGGGTGTGACTGGAGGAGGGTGAGGGAGGGATAATCCCCTATAACTAAAAAGATAATCTTATCTTCAGTCGCCATTGCATTTCTCGTTAACATGGCCAGTGGAAAGCGAAAAGGCAAGCCTTCACGATTGAAAGGAAAGTGTGCATAATTAATTAGGAAGTGCTTGAAGTAGACAAAGTCCCCCTCGAAAAACAGATATCTATTCATCTCTTTCCACATTTTCGGAGAATTGTGACAGCTTCATCCGTGCTTACAAGAACATGTCACAAAACAATAAAGTTCGTAGATGTGTCGAGAGGACGTCGACGAGGCCTTGCTAAAGTATACATTTCAAGGTCAAAAGAAGCACGAACATTACGATTAATGGGTCGATCCTGAAACTGAAGCTAGTGTGGCATTACCGATGTACACTGGAGTTGTGACGTTACTTAGCATCTATATTATTTTGAAAACAGGAAAAGGGAATGTCAAGAGGGCAAACTCGGTTACGACGAACCTCGGTTATAAAGACAATTTTTCCTTGGTCCCTTAAATGACGTTATAACCGAGTTCTACTGTAATTTCATCCCCATTCTACAATTTGTCTAGATTAGATTAGCGTAGGGAAACAATGGAAAAGACATATGATAGGTCTCGTTGAACGTCTTCAGATAAGTAGAAGATTCTACTAAGCACAGAGCTCATTAGCATGAACCAGGAAAAAGTATAGCACCAGACATCGACCGACCAACTAAGTGACCGACACCGCGCGTCAATATGACATCGAGAAAGTTCAGGTTTCGCGAGCGGTCTCCCGCTACTCGCCACCTTCATCGAGGGCATATTCGATCCGGTTCAGTTCATCCTCGCCTCGAGCACTTTCCAGATTCTTCATTATACGTAATTTGGATCGTGATCAGTCGTATTCATAAATGCAAGATTGTGCGGGTGTGGCCCGGAAGGAGAAACGATGACGTACGATACACGACATCGATTGCATTTAGTAACGCTGCGTTGTGGGTGCTACGATACAGGTGCGACTCCGATTCCTTCCCAGTGCCTTCCCATTCAGTTCGGTCGCGTGGCTCTTTGCTGCAGTGTCGAACTTGCTCCACTCCAGTCATGACGATCAAACGGAGTAGTTACCTCGAAACGTAAGCATCCAAATAAAATGTTTCCTTTTCTTAATGCTCTTTTTATCATTGTCAAAAGAAGTTTGGGACTTCTGTAACAGCCCCACTTGTGATCTGTGTCAGTTTTGCACCAACATAGGGCTTCCATTCGGATATGCATCTTGCCAATACTGGGCTCAGTTCTTTCGTGCATTTGAGTTTTCTTTGAGGTGCTTTTGTTACTATCAACAGTTTATGAATCAAGTAGTGATGTCGTTATTGATACAATGCTAGGGCTAAACTCTCTGAAGACTTAGCCGGTGTAGAGATACTATTGAATAACGTCTCGCAGCTACCACTGCGGTGATTTAGGGGGGAAAAAAGTAGTATCAAGAAGTGCTGGTAGTAGGCCTACTGATGAGGTGTTGCACTCAGGAGACCTCTTGGACTCCTGACCTCCCGGATGTTCCATTCAAGTACCAGTGCCATCAGAGAGGACTGCTTGAGACTCTTTTTCCTTTTTCCTTTGGATGTTTGGAATACTTACTTGGTGTGCACCTAAAAGTACTCATAAGCATTTCAGTCCATTAACATTGTAACCAGCGTGCACTGCTTCTGCCGTGTTTTCTTTACCTGTGAGCCTTTATGCGATAAGTCAAGCGTCCAAACGATTCCAAAATTGTTATTATTGGGGCGAAGGTTTCCGCTGCTCATTATCTGGTTTAGTAACGCCAGACTTTGTCTCCATGCTACGCGGAAAAAATTGTTTTGCTCTTCAAATGATTTTTGCAGATTCCTTGAAGGAAAGAGCTTTTACAAAAAAAAACTGCTTACTCCGGAGCAAAACGTGTTATCAGATTGCATCACGTGCAAACCCTTTACTAGTATTAAGAGGCGTTGACTGCGCTTTCCAGAAGCATTGACAACGTCTTGAATAATTCGCTTGCTCTGCTTTGTATGAGAGGAAGTACGAGTTAAAGCATGAAGAAAAATAAACCAACGGACCTTCTTTAACGCTTCAATTACAAAAGGGTGCCGAACTACCTCACAAGATACCTTATCTCGTTGATGGTAAACAGTTGACTTCACTATTATTTTTTTAATGAAGTGATGAAGCCATAGGCCTGCAATTCTTAGAAGCGAACAATCACACACAGCAGATTATTGTTTATACCTGGTAGGTCCTACTGCATGAAAATTCTCACCCTGGAAGAGTTGGATTCCTAGATACGAAAATAAAAAGGGAGCTAAAGAAAATTAAAATTGAAGAATTCGTTGATGTTCAACTTGCTCAGCGTGCATTAATATATCAATAGCTCCATCTACAATTCATTGCTAGTGATCGCTGTACTGGAGGAAACTCAAGAAAATGCCAGTTTCTTTTTACCATTGACTCTGAGAAGTCTCTTCTACTGGCAGAACTATCTCGCGTTTATGCACGCGGCCCACGTTGTGATTGCGAAGAGATGTACCATTTAGGGAGATGCTTCGTCTGTTCATCGTTAGCAGTAGGAGAGTCCTGCACTTGACTAGTGGTCATCAATATTCTATTTATGAGGAATCGAACTACCCTTCGCTTTACATTACACACCCTCATGTTCTCTGTGAGATATACATTGAGGCAGGGCCGCCCAGAGAGAGGGGGGGGGGCAAATGGGGCAATCTGCCCCGGGCCCCGCGTATCAATGGACCCCAAGGAGGGCCTCCTAAGTGCCTCAAGGTGGCCCCCAAGGGGTCTCCATTTAAATTTTGCCCCGGGCCCTTGGAAACCTCTGGGCGGCCCTGCGTTGAGGAATGAGAGATGAAGTAGGCCTGGCCCGGTCAATAATGCGCCAAGCTCGAAGAACCGTAGTTTTGAAGTAGAATGTGCTTTACCAGAAATCGTAAGGAATGTGAATCGACGTATTTCAAACATAGTAGGTTTCGATTTTCATGGGCCCCATGACGAACCCCTCCGCATATCCAAGTGCGACGATCCAATTGCAGGACTCCACTCTATGGGTGGAGTCCTGCAAAATACATTCAAATGTATTTTGCTTTGCGTTTTTTTTTTCATAATACATGACGAACATCATCGCTTGGACATAATCCTGCATTTTCGATTATTTATTCTTCAATTATGCTTGACTGCCTCGGTATATTTGCCTACATGACAGTTTTCGTAAGATTCAATGAAGACAAATTTTCATATTTTAGGTTAGAGACAAGGAGGGTGAGGACAGATTCTCCGCCCGATCTTCGTGGTGCTGGATACGCCAGGATCCCTCGCCTAGAATCTTCTTACAAACCGTTAGCTTTGCGCTTGCATTCATCACATGTGGGAAAAGCTTGTAACGTGTGATGGAAGTTCCGTGAACTTATTCCTCAGTCCTAGTCCGGGAATAGATCTTTACCCGAGGGAGGTACCGGATCATCCGATGCCCTATTTCAAGACCTATGAATTCCTGCCTCCGCTGCTGGAACCGCCCTGGGAAGGCGTAGCCGTTCTGAGTAAACCGACTGATCGCGATGCCCTAGTCAGGTGGTGGATCGACGACTTCATCGGAGACGTCATCCGAGAAGAGCTCACCACAATGGCTGCCATGGAACGAGAGGATAAATTCTTCACAGTCAGCATCCCGATAATTTTCCATGAACTACTTTTATCTGTTCACTTCATATGCTTGAATATGGATTGCAGAAGGAGAAAGATCGGCTTATGTACAAAGTATTGGAGGAGGAGGTCATACCCCCCGTGCTACAAGAGATGGCAACTGCGGTCGCATGGGATACTTTTGAATACTGGTCACGCTCAATGCCAGACCCCTACAAAGGAAAGGTGAATAAGCATCCTCTTTCTGTCTGTTGCAGTCAACGATAAAAATTATGTTGGGATACATGTATGCATGTATTCATTGTAGACACCACCCCCACTGGAAGAGAGCATGCAGAAGGCCATCAACGCTTTTGCCCGGGGTGAGGAGCCGAGTACGAAGCTTCGATTCCTCCAGTGGGATGTATTCTTAGGCCATTATCGGGGGATTTCCAAGTCTCAGGGTGTGACCAACAACTTTGGGATGCTGAAACTCCAACAGTTACTCATTGGCCAGGCTGCAGGTGGTTCCCTGTCAAGCACTTCTATCAAAACCATGGATGCTTTACTCAATGACGGTGATGAGAAAGAGAAAGTACTCAAGCCTCCAAGGCAAGGATAGATGCTTAAATCTAAATTTCATGAATGTTGGTTGCTGTTTTCTTGTGATAAGGAAATATTGATTAATTGCAAGGCAGGGTTGTAATCAAGAAAAGTTTCATAAAGAGCATTATACAGGTACTTTCATCACTGTACAATTTCCAGTCTGCAAGGATTTTTTTACCCAGCCCAGTGCAATGATAATTGTGGGAATTTAGTACTTTTGTATTATAAATAATATGTGCTAATTCTCTTTCTGGCAACATGTATCAATAGGCTCACTTTCATGTCCTTACTCATGCTTTTCCTCAAATATGTATTGACTTATTTTTACTGCAGAAGATACATCAGTGGCATAGGGAAGGGGGGGGGGGGGGGTTTAGGGGGTTAGAATCCCCCCTTGGGCTTCCCTGTCAGTGACAGCGACAGGCATATTTCTACCTTCCACGGGAATTCCAATTTTAATTATCCCCCTTCAAGGCAAGTCCAATGTCTGTCCACAGACCCAAGATGCCAGACCATGATTTATTTGAAAAGGTAAATTCCAGGTTGTGGAGCTAGGCATAGGGTTAGGGTGTCTACTTGGCCTTTGCTGATTTCCTGCCTATGCTATTGAGATACATATTTTCTGGGAAATCATGTTATAATGATCGTCAATAAAGAAAGAACAGTTTTCATCATGGTCCCATTTTTTCCAATTCAAGAACACTTCAGAGAGGAAACTTTATTAAATGTTTACAAATAAGATGAAGACAAAGATAAGCCAACTATTACTGACATTCACTTCCATCTACCCATGGACAGCTTCATTTTGCAGCGCTTGTCTGAGGATCTATCACGGGATCTGAAATCAGAACCAAATGAACCATTTTATAAATCAAAGGCAAGAGAGCCCGATTATTATAAACCAGAACCATCAAAAAACATGCCTGTGAAAAACAAGGTAATTATATAATATAGCTGCGTGCCTGAATTCGGTATGCTGAATGCAATTTATATGTTCTTTGAGTTCTTTAATACAATTTGTGACAGTTCATTTCTTGTACAAATTCATGAATTTGGAATTATCAAACATTTACTCAGTGTTTTCTTCAATAATATACTCCTCTCTCTCACACATAGTAGCAGCTGCCTTCAGTCTATGAAGTGTTACCAAATCCTGAAAGCAGAAAGGCACAATTGCTGTCTCTGAATTCTCTCACTGAAGAACAAAATCAATTTTAGGCTCAATATTCAGACTAACGTTCCATCAGCTTTTTTGGGTTTTCACGAAACTCAAATGCACTCTAACCTCAGGGAACTAACAATGAATACATACTGAGTGAGCTGCACTCCTATGTTGGGCCAAAAGAGTGAGAAAGTCAAGCAATTTTGGGGAATGATGGGTCAATTGGGTTAGAAAATAATCATGGCCTTCGGCCACAACCCTTTCCTAACCCAATTGACCCATCATTCCCCAAAATTGCTTGACTTTCTCACTCTTTGGCCTTTGACATTGAACCAATGCTACGACTGTCTCCAGGAGAGAACAGGATGCGGAATTTAAGTATATAAAAACCAAATCTAACCTAACCTAACCCACACTGGTCCTCCATATGCGATGAATGTTTGCGAATTTCATTTTCAAGGGTTGCTTGCAATGTGAAAAGAGACATGCAGAATTTCTCTATAGTGAAATACAATAGGGGCAGAGACAAATATTGGTAAAAAAAAAAAGACTAAAAGTTCGAAAATCGTCATACTTATAAGTTTGCACAAGTAATGAAGTGTCACAAATAGTATTAAAACCCTCAATGAACAAAAAAATTTCCTGTAAAATACCAAACCTAAGCATGAAGCTATATTATACTAATACCAAAAAACTACTGTGCATAGTAAGTTTGAGAGTGATAGGCAAAAATGATGACATACACACAGATTATGAATGACAAGGTAAGAAATTCAAGCAAAATACTTCTTTTTTTCTCATTCACTTGATACTAATAAGAGTTTTGCCATTGTGGAAGCAATAAAGAACTTGCTAGCATGTCAGCGTTCACAAACTTGCTGTTAAGTTTTATCACTCCCATGCTCATCCTTCCCCTTTGACATGATATTTTATCTCTCCACTAGATTTTTTTTTATTCTCTGAAGAATGAGGCCTCATGCCTCTGAAATGTTGGTTTTTCCTTCTAATCAAGTCATGAGTTGGAAGTATTCTCTACTGCTCTCTTTTATCCAGTTGACTTTGGCAATTTTAATCAACTTCCTTAAGAGAAGTGGAATATGCATAGAGGATTCACACCCTAGTATGAACAACAGTCAAAGCTTGTTATTCCAAACACGCTCAGCTTGAACTACTGATAAAATGACCTGTTTCACATGTTCCTATTGTAACCCCCAATATTGCTGAATCATTGCATTATCTTCACCACAAACTATGTCTAACATGAATTGAGTCAGCAGTCCCCCCCTTTAAATGTACTAAGTAGGTAAGTAAGTACAGCAAGTAAGTTTGACTGTATAATAATAAATCTATTCAAGAGTGACAGGTTAACATACTTTCTTTTTCCTCAAGCATCATTGCTGACTTGAAATCTGCTCTCCACAATTTTTTCCTCATTAGAAATAGGATTCTATGCCTAGGTAATATACAGCCAACTTCCTGTTTTTAATTCTGTGCCAACTTCCCAATGGCTATACCATGGGTTGACAGCAAAAACAAGTATCTGAGTTCATTTCACAATGGTTTTCCCAGGTTTAGAACTTTTAATGCCATGTGTGTATTATCTGAGTTGTCAGCTTTCAAGTTTGTTGTACAGTGTATAACTATGACACTAGACCCTGAGCACTCTTTGGTTAACTATAAGAATATATCATGCTGATGTTTAGGCTTAGGTGCCCTAAATGGGAGATATTTTCACTTACCAGTGAAACTGAAATTGGGGAGGTTTTCCACATCATGTTCAGATTTCAGACTAAACATCTTTGAAACTCTTTCCACTTCTTCCTTGTAATTTTTCTCCACAGAAGGAGTGGAATCCACAAGCCCTAGTGGACCCGTAACAGTTCTGTAAGAAGAAAAAAGAGAAATAATACATTATGGAAGGCAATTGGCCTACCATTAACATTAAGCCCAGGCCTGACATATTTAGTTGAACTAACTGTATGCCTTTACAGTGACAGTTTTCCAGATTGTGATATTCTGGAAAGCCAGAAACAACAAGATCTTTCAACAACATATATAACTGTTGCAATTTGGCCTAGGCTTACATCTAAGTGTTTTAACATCTTGCTCATATAAGAACTGATTCATAAACTTTTCTTGATTCATTCCTTATCATCCAATGCCATTAGTAGTGCATTCTATTCAAACCTTGAGAGCGTTGCCTTGATTCATCGGAGGCCTAACATCTTATATTTGATCTACTCATATCAATATTGATCTTGACAGAACAATGGGTGATTATGGGTATTTGATAGAATATGATGGATCAAAATTGCATTAAAATCTAAAGCTGCAATCAAAATACAAATAGATGCAGCTTCATGGTTTCCATCAGGAGGGGAGTTGGTGCAGAGCAAGGCTACATCCTCATAATTTTCAATATAAGCCCCCCAACATAAAGACAGATGACAAAAGCTCTCTACTGGCAGAAAGCAGATTTCTCATATTTGCCAAGGATAATCAACAAAGAAACTTAAAAAAAGAAACAATTACATCCCCAATTACTAAGAAATAGTTGAAGGGATGTTGGAAAATGGAAATACCATTAGAATACTTTAGGCTCTTCAATTCTTGGGTTCCAACTTGTCAATTTTCTGAAATGCAAAAGCCAAGGATGCAAAAATAATGAAGAAACCTTACTATGAAACAAGATACATGCCAACAAATTTATGCTAATAAATTATACTTTATTCCTCCATTAGAAACAAGATTTATGTCTAAGTAATATACAGCCAACTTCCCAATGGCTGCATGCAATCCTCAACATGGGGTATCCAAATGGGCATTATTGTCTCCTGATACCACTCTCCAACCTTGATACAAGTTTATAATTAAACAAACAGCAAAACATACTGTTGAGACAACAAAAAGTACTCAATTTTCATCATCACCAGCTAGCACCTTTCATTTCAATTATGGGGGCAGCAGTTCTCTGCTAGATCCTTCTCCTTACTCCCTCATGAACTTGTTACTATCCATTAACACATATACAAAAATCTTCCAGGCTTTCATCAGATTAGCACCTTGCTTAATATGCTTCTGTAATGGTCACTCACGGTGATGGAACTCAAACTGACTCCAAATCAAAACTCACCATCACTATCATTGGTATCCCCTTTGAGGAGTATGCTGCAAGTTTGCACCATGGCAATTTCTCATCAAAACTCTTTTATGTAGCATTTCAACTTCTGCAGAAGAAAGGCAGGCATTGGGCATGACAAATCTGTGTTAGGAGCCCCATGATACAGACTTCCAGATTGCTTTATGACTTGATCCATTCGGTTGAAAAGTTGGAATAAAAATTCCAGTAGAATTTTTTTTAGAGGGCTATTGTATTGGCTTAGGCATTAAATAAGCGCGCACCGCGAGCGCAGAAAGCCCAGGACCGGGCATCAGAATTTCTCGCATAAGGCGACGGACCTACAGGAGGGTCGCGGTGAACATGCTATGTCCAATGGGAGTAGCCTAAGGCAAGCCTCAAAAATTAGAAGCTTGCATTTTAACGATAAATGAAAAAAATATTATCATTTGCTCGCTTTACATAACCTGCTGATAGATTATGTTCTTTCACCTGTTTGGTGAAAATAGTCGTTAAGTTCATCGATGAAAAGTACTTCTTAGTTAGAAGGCAAATTAGTAAACGCACTTGCTCTTTGTGGCATATTCCTTGATTTTATTGACGAATAACTTCTGTATAGGATCTTGAGCTCCGGTGGATGTAGAGGTCCAACGTCGGGCCAAACACCTGAGGGCCACCAATTGAGAAGCCATGTGACATCTGACTACGATCGGCGCCATGTTCTGCCTGTCATCGATTTGTGACCTCCCTCCATGTTCTCTTTCTTATTTCGGGAGCAGAGGTTCTGAAAATTACAAGCAAAAGAAACTGAATTTTTCATATATTCATTCAAAAGAAACAAGTAATAATATGTATGCAGGATTTAAAAGGCTTCTTTAGCTCAATTTCAGCCCTTTTACATCTAAGAGAGAGTGAAGTGTTCCTTCTTGGGTTACAAGGCCATGGGAGTCGAAGTAGCTCGCGGATCTCATTCATGGGCTGAGTTCATT